GGTTACAAGAGACCTAATATTATTGTGTTGAGTCCAATATTCACTCTTTTTATAGCTGTGCTTTCAACTACTAAAGGAAATTTCTGGCTCATCAGAGTAGTAACTATCTTCTACTATGTTCACCAGCTAGTCGCTAACTTTCCGCCATTTGGGGTTGTGTACAGTGTGTGAGCTTTCTTTACTGAAGACAGCTGCCTCCTACAACTGAAAACAACGCTTATGAGAGCAGTGACACTGACCCAAACCTGTTGCGGACTGGAATCAAAACCAAACCAAATCTATAAGCTGAAAGCCACTATAATATTTGCCGACCCTCCTAATTGTCCTGCGGCCATGATGTGGCTGCCATGTTGCATATTCTTTCTTAAGAATTAAAAGTAGAATCAAAAGCATTAACATTAAGATTAGATTAGATTAGATTCAACTTTATTGTCATTGCACAAGTACAAGTAATTTAAATGCTATTGCAGTGTAGGCTACTTATTATTTTGTCATGTTCTTTCCTAAAAAGTCACCAGAAAGCAGAACCACTTTGGTTTTCTAAAATGTTTGAGGTCTCATGGTTGTCAAGAATGCACTACAAAACTCCAGTGACCTCAGGATACCTGTCAAGTTGGTTAGTTTGTTATCTGTAGGTTGTACAATGTGCAAGTGTGAACCTATCGTGTCATCCATTGGTTTGTGGACTCATTTTTGAAGCCTTGAGTTTGGCTTTATGGTCGTTGCCATGACAGTTTGGCAGAGATTACATACTGCAAGAAACGATCTGAAACAATTCTAGGTGAGAAATAGGCAACACAGTCACAGAATGTTAAATTTCATATTTGATAAGAACTGACTAGTTTGACAGTTCGGAGTTTGGTGTGTTGAGCTGGACGGACTCGCTAAGAATGACTTGTCAATCACAAGGTAGCCCCGCCCTAAAGCATACCCTGCTTTATTGTCCATTTGACTCTAAATGGGACTCCAATACTGTCAATGCATGCAGTCCCTTTCAAAAATTCATGGACTCATTGTCAAAATAAAAATATGTCATGTAAAATATTGATTATAGCAGCTTTAAAATGCAGGTCATAAAACAAAACAGTGAGTTGGAAGATGTGGAAAAGCTCCATAGAGCTGAGAGGAACTGAAGAATCGAGTGATAATTCCCCTTGTGGATTTATTTCTACAACTAACACATTTCACATCACACACAGTCATTTTTCTATTGTTAATATAAAAATACTGATTAGTGCAGCTTTAAAGTTATGGCTGATTATGATAGGTGATTAAGATAAAAAGATTTTACTGACAGAAGGGAGTTATTCCATAGTTAACTGAAAGAAATTGGATTACTTGACTGTATTTGATAAGCTCAGTAGATTATGTTGCTAAGCGGATAACAGAGTACACTGACAGTAATTTCCCCCAAACGTTACCCATCAGAGACGAGTTGCCTGCCAGCGCTAATGTCATCAGAAATGCAGGCCGAGGCTCCCCTCCCACAGGCTTTCTCAACGGAGCCATTTTTATTCTCCAAGAGTCTTGTTATACTGGATTTCCAACTCTTTAAAAGTCTCTCCCTTTTTACTTTTTATCCATATTTTATTGGAGCTTTTTATTATTCATTTTCTTGGAAAAACAGCTCAGGACTCCCACTAAGAGGGAAAGATGAGTCTCCTCTTTATGTGTCTCACTGATTTGATTGCCATACACTAGTCCACCTTAAATCACACTTGCAATTCGGTTAACAGTTGTGTTTTTCTGGTGTTTTTTTAGTGATCTATTTTCTTTAAAAGCCCTTTGAAAAGCATGCCGTTTTGCACAGAAACGTCCTCATTCGCGGCTGATATCTGTCAGGTAGATTTCCATTTCGGGCGGGTAAGAACAGTTTATCTGTGGGTGACAGCTCGTGCCAGCCTGTAAGTGCTTGGATTTCGCTGCAATCAATCAGGGAGGTTTTTTCCATTTAGTTGTCATGGGGGAAAACAATTGTTTTAAAAAAAAGAATTTCCCCCTATCTGTCGGTGAGGGAGTGGAGTCAGCAGAATGCAGAATGCAGCAGTGTCTTAACACTGCACATGTGTCATTCCTCTAAAACATGTCTCTGCTGTCATCCGGTAGGATATGGTTTCCAAGACACAGCCACATTTACAAATGTATCAATTACTAGACCCACTCCAGAGAGAGGCAGAATTCAAATACGCAACCCATTTACTGGATATCTCTCATCCCTGATTTATTAGAACATCGGCACTGTAGTAGACCTGGACTTCTGCTTTTTTTTCTGTCAGTAAATTAGACCCAGAATCTGTAATTCATTGTGAGACTGGACACAGAAAATCAAGAGCTATTCTTATTCTCTCATCTGCATGTTTCCTTTCACTGACTGAAGAGTGTGATTACCATAGTGCGCCTTCCAAGTTGGTGATTTATAGATTCATTAAAGGCTAACTACACCAATTGTATAAGATCACTTTACCGGCCATTAGCACAACTATTCAGCCTGTGAAACATCAACATACGTCTTCTGTGGCTCTGGATTGTCCTTTTTTAAATTTGTATTACTAATGACATGAGGACAAAAACAGAACACTAAGGCATCATAATGAAAAAGGATAATGTAACAGGACATTTTCTACCAAGACGGTACCTTCAACATGGCAGCAGTACAGGCTTCAAGTATAATACATAAAATATACATATACATATATACACATATATATATACATATATATATATACACATATATATATATACACACATATATATATATATATATACACACATATACACATATATATATACACACATATACACATAT